TTTGTGTCACGGTGGGTATAGTTTGGGGTTTTTGGTGATATTAACCCTTCTTTATTCTATGGAGATTAGCCACTTGATCTGGTACTTAATTACCAATAAGCTATTTGCTTGTGTTTTGCCTTACTATGAAAGCCCAAACGCTTTGGCACCCGAATTACATTGTAAGTCCCGTTTGTTTTGTGTATCTCAACATTTCTAATGAGAAGGCAGAGGCGAAATAGCTCATGGCATTGAGACATACAAGAGAGAAAGCAAATAGAGTCCCGCACGTCAATGACGGAGATGCCTAGACGGTTTCACACCTTCCGTGGCCCTCTGTGTGCGCTATCCATGGGTGGTGTTTTTGCATCAATTCTTTGGCCCGTTATTTCAAATCGAAACCTAAATCACGTCTTTATCTTATAACTCGGATGTGCACGTCGTGGTAGCGAAAAGATCCTTAGTTTCAAAAGCCCTCTAAACACTTCATTCCCCCACTCACCCAATTATGAATCTTTATGCTGCAGTTTTAGGTTGAATCCGAACCTAAACATAAGGGGGGAGTGCGAGTAGATCTTGTTCATCCTAGATAATCGGTCTTCATCCAAGCCTCTATCTATCTCGGGCGCGAGACGATATCTATGTTGAGATGCACGAGTGAGTTGTGTTAGAGAAAGCTCACATCAGAAAATTGAAGTGGTGTGGAGCAATTAATATACCCTAGTTAATTATCTCAAAACTTTTTGACTTAAATTTTTTAGTAAAGATGAGTCCAACTATATATGTTAATGAGTTCGGACTTGAGTTCCATCTTGGTGATCTCTCCGGATGACAACAATCAATTACAGCATACGCATAGCTGGCAAACGACTCAGACATTTTCCTAAGGTTCAGGAGGAAAAAAGGCGAATGGGGCGCGAATGACCGACCGATTCATGTCATAAAATAGCTACCAACGTTCGTTCCCCGAAGTCAATAAGGTCAGTTGTTAGTGGGTGTCTTGAGGTAACAAAATTGTAAACCCAACGTTATCTACAAATCTTATATTCTATGGCAAAGATAAACTTCAATAATTGCGGCATCGAAAGGCATGAAACACGAGAAGTCCGCTCTCATATGCAAAGCCCCAACTTCACCAGCGCCGTCACTCGATCGACATTTCTTCTCAAAAACATTCCTCTCCCTCGTTCCTTATTGAAGCGAAACTTTTGAGAAGCCATGCAAGTCTTGACCCTAGTCCCGGCCTTAGCTCTCCTCCTCGTCCTCGTCCTCGCCTTCATCCAACTACTCAAGCCCAAAACTGCCAGCCCGAAACTCCCGCTGGGGAGCTTCGGGTGGCCGGTCATCAGCGAGAGCCTCGAGTTCCTCCGTTGCCAGCACGGCGGGCGCCTGGAGAAGTTCGTCCAGGACCAGATGAGCAAGTACAACTCCCCCGTCTTCAAGACCTCGCTGCTGGGCAAGCGGATGGCGATCTTGTGCGGGCCAGCTAGCAACGAGTTCCTGTTCTCAAACGAGAGCAAGAAGGTGGCGCTGTGGTGGCCGAGCTCGGTCAGGAAGCTGATGGGGAGGTGCCTCGTCTCCAAGGCCGGCGACGAGGCGAGGTCGGACAAGAAGATGTTCATGAGCTTCTTCAACCCGGAGGCGCTCATAAGGATCGTTGGGGTCATCGATGAGGTCACCAAGGACCATCTCAGGACTCACTGGGAAGGTACGCGCCTAATCAACCATCATTAACCATTAATTAGATTTGAGATCTGCATCTCTTCTGATTTCCACAGTGGATCTCGCTGGGCTCTCTAAACTTCGTTTGACTGGATCTATCAAAACGAGTTTCTAACGTGAAGATATGAATACGTAGCTGAAGTAAAACTCTGCTTGTTTATCCTAAAAACAAAGAAAGAAAAAACATCTATTGCTTGCAGATATTTGTGTTGGAACATGGCATCTCTGCATTGGATACTATCGGATTCTCGACTTTAATTATTCGTTCTAAAGATATATATGATCCTCGCAATACGGGTCTTCACTGGTTTTGTCAACGCTCTACTTTTTAAATCACGACTGGCTTGTCACTTTCCCAATTGATGGTGCACCGATGATGAAGATTTGCGAAATAATCGGATGAATCACGTTGACGAGGGGTGCGTCTGGTATTTGAAATCTTAGAATCGAGAAATCATTTTGTAAAGGGAAAATGATACAAACAGTCCATAAACTTTGGCTTAATATGTAATTTGATCCTCGAACTTTTAATTTGTTCAATGTAGTCCTTAAACTTTAATCCAATGTGTAATGTGGTCCCTGAACTTTTAATTTATTCAATGTCATCCCGAACTTTTGATACATATTCAATTCAGTTCCTGAATTATATGAAAATGTTCAATGTAGTCATTTCCATTAATTCAAGTTCAAGAACTACATTGAACATTTTCATATAGTTCAGGGGCTGAATTGAACATGTGCTAAAAGTTCGGGGATGACATTGAACAAATAAAAAATTCAGGGACCACATTGAACATTAGCTTAAAGTTCAGGGTCTACATTGAACAAATTAAAAGTTCAGGGATCAAATTGTACATTGGGCCAAAGTTCAAGGACTGTTTGTGTCATTATCCCTTTTATAAAAGAAAACGCACATGGAAAAGTATCTCCCTAGATAAATATTCGTTCTAATGGAACGTGATATTAGGATTGGCATCTCTGAACATATGCTTGAGCAATTTCTAAATGTTAATTTATCAACAATAAAAAACGATTGCTTATATATGTCAAGGCAAAGATCGGCTGGAGGCCTACTTCACCCTGAAGCAGCACACCTTCAGCCTCGCGTGCCGGCTGTTCATGAGCATCACAGACCCGCAGGTCATCTCGAGGCTCGCCGACCACTTCCACATGTTCCTCAGGGGAGTCGTCGGTCTCCCCCTCGACGTCCCCAGCACAAACTTTTACCGGTCGAAGAAAGCGGCCGATTCCATCAGGAAGGAGCTCCGGGTGTTGGTGAAGCGGCGCCGGACAGAGCTGGAGAGGAAGACGGCGTCCCCTTCGCAAGACATCATGTCGCACCTGATTGTGAACGGGGACGAGAACGGGAAGCTCATGCCCGAGGCGGAGATCATAAACAACATGTTGAACCTCCTATTCGCTGGCCATGATACTTCCACTTCGACTCTAGTGTTGATCATCAAGTACCTGAGTAAGCTGCCTCATGTACTTGAGAAGGTCATTGCCGGTTAGTCCCTCTCTGTCCCTGAGTTTCCCTAGTCACCAGTGCAATTCCATCAGCCTACATTTACGTACTTAACATTCGCATTCGCCAGAGCAAAGGGAAATTGCGGCATTGAAGGCACGAGGAGAGCTTCTTCAGTGGGGGGATTTGCAGAAGATGAGATACTCGTGGAATGCCATCTCGGAAGTCATGAGGATGACCGCGCCAATATATGGTTCTTTCCGCGAGGCCCTGGTTGATTTCACGTACAAAGGATACACCATTCCTAAAGGCCGGAAGGTAATGCATTTGTTCATTCTCCGCAACATATCATCGTTCATTGTCCTAGAAGAGTTAGGCAGCAACGGTGGGCTTACTCGTTTGTTCATTGATCTGTCATGCGCAGTTACACTGGAGCGCATGTTCAACACACACAGACCCGAACTACCACCCGAGAATGCTCACCTTCGACGAATCGAGATTCGAGGGTTCGGGGCCTGCTCCGTATACGTACGTCCCATTCGGAGGCGGGCCAAGGATGTGTTTGGGGCTCGAGTTTGCAAGGGCGGAGTTACTCGTGTTCTTGCACAATCTCTTCAGTGGCTTTCGCTGGAGTCTGGTCAATCCCGACGAGAAAATAATCTACGACCCCGTGCCTATACCAGTGAAAGGACTTCCCATCCGTCTTCGACCTCGCGACTAGCTTCTTCTTTCTTCTATATTTGCTTCGTTTTCTGTCTTACTACGAATCCTGAACGCTTGGCATCCGAATTATTGGACAGTCCCTTTAATGTTTGCGCATCTTACATTTCCGAGAGCTTTCGTCCGATTGATTCCTGTCGATTAAGCTCACGATGCTTAGATAATTCTGGAAAGGAAAAGAAAAACTCAATGAAGCATTAAGATTTTCAGATCGAATTCTTATTTGATCAGTCACTAGAAATTAATAAAAGAGGAGCAATTAAACTACAACATTGATAAACCATTTTGGAAACATAATTATCAATGTCATGCTCTCTCATTTAAGAAAAGCTCGATAGGTCATTCCCAATGAAAGTATTGCGGGTTGCATATCAACGATCGTATCATGCCCAGTTTAACTCGGGCATCATATCACTTGATGGAGACATGCAAACCAATTTAGCACAACAAACTCGTTTTGTTTTGCTGTGGCATCATCAAAAAGTGACGTTAGCTCCCAACCAGTTTGCATACGGGAGGCCATCTCCGTCTTCATAGATCCCCTAAGATGATAATCATCCTGTATCCTGTATTCGGATTCTCGGCACAACCTTGACGCCGCCTCCCCACAAACTAGTTGTAACAACGCTTTCGCATCTCTTACACTTCAACGCCACAAAGCATTGATCGTGCTAAATCAAATCACGTGCTACCTATTGGGTGAGTTCATGTAAAGTGACTGGATATGATACAAGTGCACATAGGTGGTATATAACCTTTCAACGATAGCTTTTTTCCGGACGGTCTGCGACCGGCGAGGGCCGGGACCCTCGCTGGACATAGAAGAAAAAAAAGAAAAGAAAGAAAGACAAAGAAAATAAAAATTTAAAAAAATTATAATAATTCTCCATTAAATTTGTATTTTAACAATAACAAAAATAAGAAACAAGTTTTCTTATATTGGGTTAAATTTGTAAGTATTTTAGTTATATGGGTAGAGTATGGGTCGAGAAATTTGCACTGCGAATAAATGGGTTAATTGGTCAATTTGACCCGATCCAAATCCGTCCAATTTACCTGTTTGACAGGTCTAAATCAGTTAGGTAGATCTAATTAATAGGGATTCCACGTTATAAGAGACGCTTATGCGCAATCCCTTTGCGCATACTCATCATGGACTCACTACTACCAGCTTCATACTTGCTCGCTGTCCTCATTGCCCTCCCCACTTTAGCCTTTTTCCTCTCCATCGCTAACAGAAGAGTTTCCAGAAAATCATCTCCCCACAGTACTCCTCCTGGCCAATTTGGATGGCCCATCCTAGGGGAAACCCTAGAGCTGCTCCGTGCGGGCAGGGAAGGGAGGCCCGGGAGCTTCCTGGACGAGCGAGTCGACAAGCACGGGCCGTGCGTCTTTGCCACATCCCTCTTCGGCGAGCCGACCGCCGTGTTCTGCGGCACTGCGGGGAACAAGTTTCTCTTCGGCAATGAGAACAGGAAGGTGACGGTGTCGTGGCCGAGCTCAGTGGTCAAGCTGGTCGGCTCATGTCTAATCACTCTGGCCGGCGACGAAGGAAAAGTGATGAGGAGGATGCTAATGAGCGTTTTCAACCATGAAGCCCTCATGAGGTTCACCAAGATCATGGATGAAGTCACTTGCAATCATATCAAAGCTAATTGGGAAGGTATAGCTATATCCTATATGATCTACATGTCAATTATCTGCCAACGAATATAAAGCTTGGGTATCATTACTTTGGAGTTTGGACTTTATATTACTGACCCAGAACCTTAAACCTCCATGTGAATGGCAAACACGGGTCTAAGAAACACTTGAGTCCACTCCAATATATCACCTTCAAAAGGACCTGGCTCTTGATATTGATTACATCGAAACTTCTGGTCTCTTTAGTTCGTTAATTTACTCACTCGTCGAGCTCGTTAAAACTCTCCTCGTACTGTGGCAATTACAGGACCACTGTATTGCCTATAGTCTTTGGTCTCTAGACAATTCAATTTTCTCATATTCTCTACGTCATTAATGAAACTTCGAGGAATACGTAGAAACTTTGATAGTTCAGGACAACAGAAATGTTGAAATTTTGTGGCAACGATCTTCTTATTGTCTCGATGTTCTTCGGCATCGGTAAAGGCAAAGAAGAGGTGCTTGTGTACCCGACCATCAAGCACTACATCTTCGAGCTCACGTGCCAGCTCTTCCTGAGCATCCGCGACCCGCGAGAGATTGCGGGCCTCGCACGCCCCTTCACAGCGTTCCTCGAAGGCGCCATAAGTGTCCCTCTCGACCTGCCCGGGACGAGATTCCGCGGCGCGAAGAGGGCGGCGAGGTCCATCAGGAAGATGCTCAAAGGGATCATCAAGGAGAGGAGGGCGGCCCTGGAGAAGGGGGTGGCGTCCCCGATGCAGGACCTGCTGTCGTACCTGATGGTTACCGCGGACGAGAACGGCCGGTTCCTGACCGAGACAGAGATCATCAACAACCTGCTCCTGCTTCTGGTGGCGAGCCATGGCACTACGAGCTGCACCGTGACGATGGTGATCAAGTTTCTCGGAGAGTTGCCTCATGTCTACGAGAAAGTTTTGGCTGGTGAGTCTCCTTAAAAACCCGCTTTCTAACGGCTTAACTTGAGACGGAAACTTCACATCACGTCCATCACTCTTGTGGTTATCTATCTGTTTTCATGTCGTTAATAATCTTTTTGTCCGTGCATGCATGCAATGTTCTCTGGGAATTGCTACGAGCAGAGCAGAGAGAGATCGCCGTGCGAAAGAGATCAGCGGGAGAGGGATTGACGAGAGAAGATGTGCAGAAGATGAGCGATACATGGAGCGTGGTTTTGGAGATCATGAGGCTCGTGCCGCCTGCTCTTGGAGGTTTCAGAGTCGCCTTGGAGGATTTCACCTTCGGTGGCTATACCATTCCCAAGGGATGGAAGGTACATGAAAAAAATCATTTTTTTAATTTTTTGTTTGCACAAATCCCGCTAGGATTTCGTATGTTTCAACCCGGTTAGTCCTAAAAAAAAAAAAGATTAATACCACGAAAAACCCCAAACTGGTACATCTGTGACAATTTTACCCAAAACTAATATTTTGACCACCAAAAACCCCAAACTGGTATACCTGTGACAAATTTACTCTCAGTTTGCTTCCGTTAAATTTTACTGTCAAATTACTTTGTTAAATGACACATGACAGTTAACTGATGTGCCAGTTTTATGTTTTACCATCAATTTGTCACAGGTGTAACAGTTTGTGATTTTTTTTTGTATTAATTCAATTTAACGGAAACTAACGGAGGATAAATTTGTCACAAATGTACCAGTTTGGGGTTTTTAGTGGTTAAAATATTAGTTTGGGGTTAATTTAGAGCAGGTGTACCAATTTTGATTTTTTGTGGTCAAAAAATTAGTTTTGGGTAAATTTGTCATAGGTGTACCAGTTTGAGATTTTTTATAGTATTAACCCAAAAAAAAAAAAACAACTTAAATTGAGGAGAATAAAAGAAAAGAAAAAAACTACCAAAAACCTCAAATTTTGTCCACTTGGGACACATTTACCCTCGGCTTTTATTTTTTACCCCCAAACTTGTTTTTGTAGCATCAAAAACTCCAAAGTTGTACCCATGGAACACATTTATCAAATGATTTTCCAGCCAAAACAGGTCATTTTTATTTCACTTATTCCACGCTGGCTCCATGTCAACATTGTTTGTGTTCCTTCATTCATGTAGGCAAATTTTTAACGATAATCATTGACAAAACATTAACAATGGGTAAATATGTTACACATGTATAAATTTGGGATTTTTTGTGTCACAAAAATTTTTTAGAGTAAAGGTGTCACGGTGGGTATAGTTTGGGGTTGTAGTGGTTTTTTTTTTTTCCTAAAAGCAAATTACTTCTTAATTTAGCATAATCTCCGATGTAAAAAGTGTAGGCAGAAAAAATTGAAAAATGCGGTCACTATCTTAAGAAATAAATTATTTGTTTTAAGGAATTTGTTTTGAAATAATATACTTTCAGATTGATATGAAGATTGATCGAATTATGATTATTAAAACTTGTTACTAAAAAGAAGAGATCCAAATGAGATTCGTGTGGTGAAATTTAAAAAACCCCTTACGCCTTTTCTAACAAAAAATTAGTTTTTCAAAGAAATTTATAACAAATGCTGGAAATAACTGTGATTAATTAAACGAAGTTAAAAAATTGTAGTTAAAAGAATAACAATATTAGTTTTTTTTCCGTGTTTGGAGCATCACCAAATGAATAAGACAATGACTTGAAAGAGCTTCCCCTTTCATGGCGCTGTCAATTGGTTATTACATACAAGGGATGCTAAGAAAATTGCGTAGTCGGTCTTAAATCTATCGTACGGATAAAAATTAAGTCATAAATATTTCAATGCCGCGTTAGTAATTTCCAACAAAAATTGACCGAAAGTTTATGATTAAATTGATAAATTGAAAAAAGTTTAATACGGAATTAGCATCCGCATTATAGGTTTAGGAGTAATTTTCTCGAGCGATGTTAGAGGTACTAAAAGAGAGTGTACAATGGGTTGAACTTTTGTTCACCTGAGGACCCATGAAATTGGCATTAATTATCACAACTTGCGCAATGAAAGGGCGGTGCTTAAGCTAATTAAGCGTAATAACTATGATCCATTAACAAAACAATAGTCCAATTAAGCTTACTTGATCAAATTACATTTCACAGCTGATGTGGAGTACTCTCACAACAAACAACGATCCCGCCATATTCCCGAGCCCGAAGCTATGCGATGCGGCCAGGTTCGCGAGGAGCACGTCGCCCGCCCCATGCGCGTTTGTCCCGTTCGGCGGCGGCCTTCGGATGTGTCTCGGCAAGGACTACGCTCAGCTTCAGATCCTCGTCTTCCTTCACCACCTAGTGAACAACTTCAAATGGACCAATGCAATTCCCGACGAAAAGGTCAAGTTCGAACCGATGCCGATCCCATCACAAGGACTTCCGATTCGCATTCGACCTCACCATGATCGATTGCGATGTTAATTCCCATCGGTGTGTTATTTAAAGCTCGAGTTGTTTAGCTGGCAAGTTAACATCAATAAGCTTAATTCGCGTTAAGTTGCAGGTGGACGTTTCAGTCACAATCATCATGAGTCCGTCTTTGTGATTGTGCCTGCGTTTACGTGGTTTCATTGAAACTGCATGCTAGTGTGGTGTGGCAATGTAAGAATGGTTGGCAAGTTAACATCAATAAGCTTAATTAGCGTGAAGTTGCAGGTGGACGTTTCAGTCACTGCCTTCATGAGTCCATCTTTGTGATTGTGCCTACGTTTACGTGGTTTCATTGAAACTGCTAGTGTGGCGTGGTAATGTAATAATGGTTGCAGTTGGTTTGATCAGATTGAAATGTCCATTTTGAGATGTAGATAAGTAGGTGACGGATCGACAATTATTCTTGTCCCGTGTGTAAGCTGTGTTGTCGATTTCATCGGGGCGCCAGGATACTCCTCGGCACAAAAGCAGTTTCGAATTAAAGTCTAACACATGCTTCTTACAACTTGCCTCGAGCTATCGAAAGAATGTGCTTCAGAAAGAATTCAAGAGCTGAAGACCCTCAATGTTCCGGATTAGTAAAGATCATAGGATTACTGATATAACTTTCACCGCATGTTGCAAAGTTACGCAAAGTTTAGCCCCGACATCGGTGCCGGCAGCTTTAGGTGAAGGATTTACTTCCGGGCATTACTCAGATGCAGACCAAACACGATTACTAAACAGTTCGATGATGTCAGATCGACGATACTTGGGGATGTATATCCATCCACCAATGCATTTGCTATTAAATGAACAAAGATCTATAACAGAATTATACGAACATAGCATGTACAGAGATCAACATAGGTCTAGGGCACGAAAGCCACTAGATCAAAAGAACAGAGCTCCGCCCTGCATAACTTTGAAGGTACTCTACACCTTTACAATTCCTTATTTTTCTGTGCAAAACTGCTGATCTACGCTGGAACCGTGCTAGAAGCTCAGCTTCACAGGAGTCCGACGAAACTTAAAAATGATGTGTATGGACTAAGGAACAACAAAAACTTCCAGCTGTTGCTTTACAATTCTTGGAACATATCTTTCTCGAAGTCCTACTCGAAGGTTACAAAATCTTGAAATGAGACGTGCCAAGTTGATTGCAAGCTCTCCTTCTGCGCTCTTTCCAGAGCTTGCGGATATCTCAGTCAATCATACCTGAAAGTCGTGAAAGCTTAGCTGTTTCACTGGAAAGATAAAACCAAGAGAATTTTGCAGATACATGCCCAACTAAGGTTCGGCAATTGGAACCTTACCATCGATAGTTCTTCAAGGAGGGACATGAGAGGACTTTCTTGCCATATGGGTTTGTCCGAAGCACAGGAACGTGGGGCTTTACAGCATCCACAAATGCAGCTTTAAGAGCTCCCTGCTCGAGAAAATGAAGACACGATCCACGGGTTATAACATTGCTTCTTCCTATTAAGTAACACCCAACATATATCTACCAAAAAAAAAAGTAACACCCAACATGTTGTTTTTCTTTAAAGGTTATGCTCTATTCAGAAGAACTCGTTTATACTGAAAAAAGCAGCAGCATGGACATTGAATAAGGGATGATCCCACCCCGAAGCCAAAGAGCAATTTTGAATACCTCCAAAATAGTGGCTGTCAGCAAGTTCCATGTATCTCAAGGATTGCAGTTAGAACAATAGTAAACCTTTAATTCCATTCACCAAGCACCCAAGTGAACTCCTACCAAAACTGAGAGGCTTTTTAAAAATTTCGCCTTTCATACATAACAAGATAACTTCTGCTTTATGAAGCCTCTGTTTCTGTACCAAGAGGCTTTTTAAAAATTTCGTATTCCATATATATTCATCTACTTTATGAAGCATCTGTTTCTGTCCTCCTTCCATTTGCCACAGTTTCACCATTCTCCCCGCACTTTTTGCATGTTCATCCTCCCCACTTAAAGCATGACGACAATATTTTAGAAACAGACAAAACAGACACTTACACATGTTTTGTAACCAAAATGTTAACAAAGCTGATAATACAGCTCAAAAAATTCCTAAAACCATTTAAACCAAGCCACACAGCCCAGACAAGCAAACAGAAGAGCTATCAATTAAGGCCCAAGACGAAACTTTTCAAACTATAACAAAACAATTAATACATATATCAGACCAAAAACCCGATGTAGTGAATGAAGAAAGTTTCTTGATTCATATAGATGGAAAGAAATCACTTATTTGCAAGGATCATGAAACTAAATATAAGAAGGCTCAATCTTAAGAAGGTATTTCGCTGACCTTTGATTTTTCCAGTGCAGCTTGGATGACAAAGTTGCCAAAAGGGTCTTGCATGATCTGAGCTAACCGAGGATCATCTATCAACTCTTGGATAATGCGAGTGCGATGTTCTTCACCAGCAAATTTCAGACATTTCTCCACAACGTTGCTGCTATATTTCTGCATGGACAAGTCTCCGTAATTGCCATCCAATTGGTCAAGTATATCTCTTGTTGCATGGGGCACATGAAGCTCAAAAACAAATTGCACTACATAGTTCCTGCAAAGGGAAAGAAAAGAGAGATGTAAAAGAGCACCTCCCGTGAGGTAAAACAATCATAGCATATTTTGCAGCAAGACCTTAATTACATGATAAATTTTAAAAGGGAAAGGAAAGAGAGATGTAAAAGAGTACCCAAATTGATCCTGTGAAAGAATTAGAGCATTGGATGTGATCCCACAGATCAGATGGCATTTCTGCTCACCACCAGAATGACTGAGGCACTTCTGAAGCACACAACAGCCATGGCGGTCTGTAGCCAGCTCGAGACAATTAGCAGCAGCAGCTTCAAAGAGGAACTGCAGAAGAAACAACAAGTGCTCCATTAAATATTGCAAAATCCCTTTAATGTGTATGATGTTGCATTCAGAAGAATAACAACATCAAAGGATGCAGTCGCATCAGAGTGAGTAATGGAGGACTACATTTTCATGCAAAGCCAATCCTTTATTGAAAATCCAAACATGAAAAAGGCAAATTCTATCAGAGTAAGAAATATGCAAGAAAAAAAAAGGGCAAAACATGAGAAGAAGCTAAGAAGAACTGAAAGCAGAAATTATCAAAAACAGGCAAAATCTTTCCATCATGCATTATCGATGACATCAACATATACTCTTAACCCCAAGACAAATTTTAGAAAGCAACTCTGCAAATAGAGGAATGAAAGCAAATTGAAAAACTATCAACCATATATTACAGGCAACAATCTTCAAAACATAACGAAGTACATGGTGCTTTCACTCATGGTGAGCCACCTAAATCCATGACAGGGATACAGAGTTCACTTTTGAAATAATGCTTTCGATTATTGGACTTCATGATTAGAAAATGGCCTTTGAAATGTGACCTAGCATGACCTGAGAAGAAGTTTAAAGAAATATTGCACTCAGAAGATTCGCACCACCAACTATTGATAAGCACCATTTTTCTAGAGCAAATTGTAACCTAAACTGCAACCTAAGTGTTGACTGTTGAGGATTCTGCTTTGACAAAAGCTATTAAAAACAGAGCTGAGGAGTTTAAAACTGAGAAAAAGAAATATGTCACAAGAATCATCAAGTTAATTGACTACATGTAACTCCAACTTATCCAAACAACTAACTGGTGCTTCAATCATCTTGCTCCACATTCTCGTGGAATTGGCAAGGTAGAAGCTGAGTTTTAAAACATGCTGACACTTGGCCATTTGGAAAAGTAAAGCGTCAGATTGATGCTGCAAGCACTATGTGATCAAGAGGTTCCTCAAAAAAAAAAAAGCACTCACTGACCTCTTTGTACTCCAGTGGTAAGTAGCGTAGGCAGTGCTGGGCGACATGATTACCATTCGTGTTTTTCATTAAAGTAACTATACCAGGATTTAGGGCAGAAACCACAACAGAGAACTCCTCTGCAGTTTTAAGGGTCTCAAGAACCTTTTGAACAACTCGGGTCCTGTAGTTGACAAAGACAATCAGAACACTGAGTGGAAGTAAAATCAGTAATCACAAGCACAAACTAGCACATGTGGGCATATATATATAGAGAGAGAGATGGGGAGAGGGCGAGAGAGAGAGACCCATGCATATCACATGAAATGTGAATCAGATCACCCGGTCTCCTAGTGATAACATGGAGTATTTGCATTCTCTGATCCTCATCACACACTTCCAGCAGCTTCTGGACTAGGTAATTGCCAAAAGGATCTGTCATCAGCTCAACTATATGGTCAATAACCTCAGAAAATATCTGCTCAACATCCTTTCTTGTTCCCTCCGAGAACTTCTTTTGGAGAAAGCGGCAACCATTTTGGTCCTTGGCCATAAGATATATTCTTCCGCTGACTTCATCCAGACTGTTACACCTCTGCAACCTCAGATCAGCACTTCTAAGACTGGCTGTATCAGGCAAGGAACCCCATTGGCTTAAACTCTCCGATCGAAAGCATCCAGTACTAGGATTGCACAGGTTGTGCAAGTGCTGACCATTCAAATTAACTCTTCCACTCCGGCTGATGTGGCTGAGTAATTCATTTCCTCGGACAGAGCCAAATTTCAAAGCTCTTAATGCATTTAGGCCACATGATCTTGTTAGAATCTTTTCTGGCACAACCTGTTGGGAGATTCTTCCAAAGTTTTGCACAGAATGGACATCTCCAGAAGAAAACTCGACATGTGGTTGCTTACACTGCGAATTTCCACATGAGCGTAAATATGGTCCCTGCTTAGATTGTTCAAGTAAGTGAGCCATTGGCATCTCATAATGTGATTGACAGGCATTTTGATTCACTGCCCTAGTGGTGAAATAGGCATCATCTTGCACAGCATGCTGAGAATCAAACTGATGGCTATACAAGTGCTGTAGATACAGCTGTTGCTGATGCATACTGTGGAAGTGTTCCTCCTCTACATTTCTGCAAGGAAATTGAGACTCGTGGATTTGTCGTGGTGAATAGAAGGAAGAGAATTGAGATTGCTGATTCGTGAAATAGTGCGGCTTATTAGGAATCATGGGAAACTCTTGGGTTGGGATAGGTACATTCGGTAGGAGAGAAACCCCTCCGCTGATTGGCACTGCAGCAGCATAATTTTCAATTGGCTGGCAAGTACCAATTTGTCGCCCGCTGTGAACTTCGCCATTAACTTCAACTAAATTCGCATTCTGTTTGCCAAACTCTGTGCTACGATACTTGTTAGAACCATAAAAGCCACCGTCTTCTGATTGCCATACATTGTTACATAAGGACTCTCCGGCCAGATCATGAAACCTTAAGCTGATAGGGTACTGGCTTCCTGAGCAAATGGCATCATTTGGCATGGTTATACTATTAGCCAAAGGATGATTAACAGCTTCCGATGTCAGTCCATTGGAAAAGTTCAATTCTGCAAAAGCAGATATGAAGGATTGGTCATCTGGCAGCTTCCTTCCCTCCATTTGAGCAGTTTCGACAAGTGGCCGCTGAACTTCATTCATCGACACGTGCAGACCCCCATTAGTTGAATATTTCTCACTTGAAGGCCCTCTGCAGGAATTGACAAGTATAGGCAACGAGCTATCATCCAAACATGCCATTTTCAGTCTAGATTCCCCGATGTGCGAATCCCCAGAGGTGGCGTTAGGAATCTCACCGAGAAGCTTCTCGAACTCATCAAACTCTATTTCACGTTTGCCTTCCTCCATTTGCAGCTTCACAAAGTGTGAAAAATTCCTTTGCAGCAAACAGAGAGATTCACAAACAAGCGAGTGCGTCCATGAAGAGAGCTACAATGAATCAAATTTTGATTGTTAAAAGGAAATCCTACTAAAATACAAAATCAGTAACGAACCGAATGACACTAGCGGCTACAAAGTTGCCAGCTAGTGCAGCTGGTAGAAGTCCCTTTGCAGTTGCTGCCAAAGTTCTACTGGAATTGAAGATATGAAAATGGAAGGGCTACAGCAATTTAGTAGCCCGGCATTGAACAAATTTATTTCGATATATAAAAGACACACGAGTTCGATGCAGGAAAAAAATAGAGACATTTTATGATTCACGTCCACGAAACTCAGAACACCGCTGTCTCTTCGAATGAGAAAACAAGAAAGATGATGGCAAAGCTCTTGTGCAAAATCTGACTACTCCTAAAATTTTGCAATACAGAAAAGAAGAATCACCATTTTCAAATAATCACACTGTTCTGTCGTTTCTCCAATGCAGCGAGGAGTCTTGACAAGAAGAAAATTTTTAAAAAACACTGTTCGTCGTATTAGCTGACACTGAAACAAAGAATTTAACGGGAAATTCAACACAAACCAAAGCAGGACTAATCAGGCAACCATCCTCCGTCAAAACCAACAAAGACAAAAATCGAAGTACTATAAAAGCCAAAACCCCCCCAGTCCACAATCGAGCCAATAAAACACGCCAACCCAGAATTACATTACAAGCATCAGACTGATCAACCCAAATCGCAGAACATTTTCTCCTCGATTCTTACGTCCAATGTGCCCGGAAAAAAAATAAACTAAACGGACGACTCAGACCCCACAAAAAAACCAACAGACGGAACGTGCTAAAACCCCCGCAAAACATCGACGATCAGGCCAAGATTGCGCAAGAAACCGTGATCCCCGCATTGCCGCCGCAGAGACACGATCCAAAACCAAAAGGGTGTCGCCAGAACACGAGGAACAGAATCAAAAGGCGCCGAAAACAACAATGCAGACACAATCAGGGCGGGGGGGGACCCCGTCTGGGTCGACGCGCGTGGGAATCAGTGAAGGCGTACCGGTTTTTAAACAGGAGAAGGTGGTGGTGGTTCCAACATTACGAAAAGACGCATTCTTTTTCCTCGGATTCGCGAGAGAATCCTCGAAGAAGACGAAAAGGGTTTCTCGCGATGTGCACAGAGGAGAGGAGAGGAGGAGGAGAAACGCAAAGAGAGTGCGAAAAGTGATACGCTGGTAAGGCGGCGTGGAAGAGTTTCCTTTAAAAGAGCGAATTTTAAAGGGGGGAGAGGAAGGGAAAAAAGATTTTCCAGAGATTGGGAGAGAGAGAGAGAGAGAGAGAGAGAGAAACTAGAGCGTGTGCGTGTGTGTGTCACTGGCGTGTCGCCAAGAAACGCGAAATCGAAAGCCAAAACCTTTTCGAGCAGCGCACGCAAAAAAGAATGAACCATCATCGATCTCGTGCATGGGAGGGGGATGGTGATGCTGGAGGGGCATGCTTTCGTTTTGTTTCTGTGCCTTCGTTTGCTGTTGGGTCCCCCTGTCACTCTGCCTTTTTTGTTTGGTGGGCTTTTTCGATTATTCTAATGTTTCTTGGTCTCTTCCGTGAAATTGGCCTGTGTTGTCTTTGTTTTATTATATTCCTTCTTCTTCTGCTCACGCTTTATTTGCAAAAGGGCATTCTTTAGTGCCTCGGACCGACGTGAAGTTAATTTTCTTGATGCCACGAGCATACGGTTTCCGCCGCTCCCCGTCGGGAGCTCCGGTCTTTCGAATAAAAGGGAATGGCTCGATTGGACTAATTTGATAAATTTTAATACTCCATTATACTTTTTGCTAATTTTGGGACTCAGTTGCGCTTTTTGAAAGTTTTAGAATTTAATTGTAATTTCATGACAAGTTTTAGGACTTTCGATACACTTGTCCCTATAATTTGTGTGAGCTTTACTTATTCTCTCGAGCCTACACGGTAATGGAGAATATCAATTTTTCGCCAAAGGGACGGAATATAAGCATTTTATTATCTGAATTGGACCGAAATATTCATGAAGTGGAAAAGGCATGGATCATTCGTATTCAAATGCTTCTTGATTAAGGTTATCACAGAGACTCTTCTTTTGTCGATTTCATTAACTCTAGAGAGTGCAAAGTGTTGGTCTAACCCACGACAAGTCTTCATAGGATTTGGCCGGAACGAATAATGTAATGGACCTAACTTTTTGGTTCCTGTTTTTTTTTATCTGTGGTTTTTGGCAGGGCCTAACTAGACACTAGCTCGACCTGCTTTTAGACTCCACGAAAGTCACCTTTCTGTACCACTTTATAAGCTCTTTTTTTAATACAATGACCAAATTGATGCACATTGCAATTGCTTGTGTCGCAAAAAATGGCGAAACAAAGAAAGAAAGAAGAAGTCACCGTAATTAAGGGCGAGCAAGAAACTGGTAATCGGACTTGGCAAGATAAGTTTAAGCCTTTTGGATCCGTGTCTTGTACCGCTGTATGACGCGGAAAATATTGAATTAGATAAATGCCTCGATCAAATTTGAGCTAGCAAGGTCATCGGATATAGTCTTCGTGCTCGGTATCACGCTTTAAATTCGAACCCAAGTGTATTCTTGCCGTATACCTCCCAAATCTAATGCGGATTACCAAATCGAATTTGTCCTTCCGGAAGACAAAGCCTTTTTTCGATCCGGTCACGCTTAACTCATCGTGTAATTTGGTGCTTTATTGAACTTGTCATGTAACTCCTTTGAAATTTCTAAGAGAGAGTAATGAATGGGAGTGGAGTTTAAGGTTGCCCTTAAATGTTTCGACCCAAGTTTCAAGCAGTCAAAAGGGTACTAAGTTTCGAGTTTCAGAAAAAAAAAAAAACCCACCACACCATGGCATTAATCCTCCTACTAATTAATCATAATTTAGAAAAGGAAATTAATTTTTAATTAAAATTAGAAAATTTCAAAGGGTCAATAATCCATATCTCAACAAACAACATCGGACTCACTCATCGACTAATCCGCCAAATCCTAAATCTAAACCGACGTGGACAAGAGGATTTTCGCCGTTGCGATTGAAGTTTGATTCGGGGGAAATCTCCCCTCAATCTCTTCTTAACAAAATTAATGAATTTTCTTGCTCTTCTTTTTCCAAATTAATGAACTTTAAAAAACAATTAAGGACCGTTTACTTATATTTGTTGAAATATAAAATAAAAGAAAAGGAGAAAATTCCAATTTGTTGGTCACCTTTTGGTTTCACAATATGTTTGTTATTCGGGGGCTATCTTTTTGGTTTCGACTGGAGAATCCCCACGGAAGCGAGAGAGATATGATCCCGACCCTGTATTTTTTTAACCCTAAGCGACATGTATTGTGAACCCGAAGGAGAATCAACTTTTGACTCGGACCTCATCATAAATATCTTTGACCAAAAAGCAAAAACAAAATTTGAACCTTTTGCTCTTGACTGACTCGACCATTGACTTGCTTTTGGGTTCTTCCTCCACCGTCCCAAAAGACTCGTGTAAATGGATCGCCATCCAAAAAAGAAACGTATCAAGAAAGACTTGGACCACGTTTATCTAAGCATACGTATCAAGAAAAGAAACGATTTTTCAGATTGATCGAGTGGTCAGGAGATTGATCTAGATGCATGAACTGAACCCGTAAAAGATCGGATTGTTCGCATCGCTAGCTGCAAATAACTTCCGCAAGTAGACCACCCGAGGGTCGGACTTATGTTTGTGTCTTACCTAATCTACGAGGCTAATGCAATGTTCCACGGCGTTCTAAGATGAACTTTCTCTAGCTGTGAGAAAAAAAAATGACATGAATGAAGGGTGAAGTAGTATCCATTTTCCCAACTTTAAGCATGCATATTTATTTTTATCATAAGCGATTATCCACTGACTGATTTTTTCAGCAAAACCAAACCAAATGCGTGGAAATCTGGAAAATTAATTCGCAGGAAATGCCTTCGCCCAAACAAGCTCATCTTTAGTTCTATCGTGTTTTTGTATCGACACGGCATGAAGAGTTTGCTCCAATTGGCAATGGGCCCTTGGCCACGTAGACGGCTCTTCGCTGATTGACTAAAGTTCCCATGCCCCGAGTCAAGGCCCAAGTCGCGCAACGACTAAAAATAAACCCCAACTTCGTCTCTTTCTTTCCGTGGACCAATCGAACTTGACCCTTTTCCTTTCGGCAACCTCCCTCGGAGGGTTTCGGAGAGATTTCTGTTTCGCGTCATTTTCGTTCTGAAAATTACTCAGAAGTTGTGTCCATTTGGACCATGTACCGCAAGACAGTGACGTTCTGATTTTTGGTTCTTCGGGGGGTCTCTTTCGCTTTCTATTTTTTCGCCTCCTGACATTGCAGGACACCGCCCCGATCTTGCCAACGAATTAAAATCCTACAGTGCACGTCTACAGTTAGTATATACACCGTTCGTCCACGCAAGGGAAATAGATGAACACAGTACAGAACACAAGGAACGTATGTACCACATAGATGCGACCCAGGACGAGGAATCAATCCATTACACGCGATGAGATTGTCGTTGAACGAGAGAGTAACTCAAGAAAAGAAGATTTCCCTAGTCCAAAAATTGTTGCAAGCATACATTTATATTGCAAAATTGCGCACTACCCGCAACACTAGCTTTAGCCTAGTCACGTCATCAATCGACTTAATTTACAAAAATGAGGCGAAGAAGAGACAACCGAGATGCCATTGCCATCTAATGTACTTCTTCCGAGAGAAGGTTCAAGATTTATTTACTCTCTCTATCCTCAAATCCCTCAATATCCATAGCCTGGGACAGCGGTGAAAGAAAAAACAATCGTCAGCTTAGCATGCATATCAAGTAACGAAAGCATGAACTACCATCTCATTTGAAGGTTCAGAAGGGAAATTTACCTGAGTTGTCCATGGGATTGCCTGCCGGAATTGGTTCAGCCTCCTTGATCTCTACGACTACACAATCTGACATCAAGAACGTTTTTGCCACAGAAGCTGCATGCTCCAAGCAACACCGAACCACCTGGTCAGAGGAAAAAAAACTTTTTCAGGCTAAGCCAACCTTATTCGAGCAGAGAGAACTAGATTCTCTTCCAGCAGTAGAATAAGCACGTTGAAAGACGAGAGGACATATACAAAGGCTTATTAGTTCTCCTATACGGCCATCGAAAAGCAGATCATATCAGGTTTCACATTCTTCGAAAAGCCATACCTCACAAGTTCAAAGTTTCGATATCACTGGCGTCAAAGCTACACATATTACATTAGTTATTGCAAAATTACAAACATGCACAACCAATTCTCATAGCTAAAAGTTCATTTCGGAACTAGCTTTAGGCACACTACCAGATTAATGACCAGCTGCCACTTTACCTCGAGAGGGAATAATCAGGGAAGTAGCACCGAAGAAAAAAGGACATCCCGACAGTAGCTCATTATTCCCACCTTTTCAATCCAAATGTTCAAACCAAAAAAATCCAAATGACACTGAACACTAGAGCTCACCTTAGTGGGATCGATGATTCCAGCAGCCATTAAATCTTCATATTTGCCGGTTGCAGCATTATATCCGTACTTAGGATTGTCACTCGAGAGAATCTGGGGTAAGATTACAAATGAGTCATCAAAATCAACCAAAAATGAGGCTAAACAATTGTATCTATGAACCAACAGCAGAACTCACCTTCTCACTGACCACACTTCCATTAACACCTGCGTTTTGGCGATCAACTTCAGAGGGTAACTCAAAGCTCGCTTAACAATGTCTGCCCCAACCTATGATCAATAAAGATAATTTGGATCAAAACGTATACTGCTGTGAGCTTATCTACAAGATGACTAAGCAGCAAACATACTCAGAGGAGGCTAGGGGCTTTAAGTTTATATTTTGTTTTGTACTCTGTGCCAAAGGCATTATCGAGAAAGTTTTCATTACGAAAAGGAAATGAAAACGGAAAATTTGAAAACTTTTTAGAAACCAAACAGGCCCTAGATGGCTTCCATCTTTTTCCTCCCAGGAACAGAAACCGCATATGGACCAAGTAGAGACTTTAGTCATTACTACTCACTCCAGTTGTGAACCTAAAAGTTTACCTTTTCTTCATCATTGTCTAGCGTGTCCTTGATGGCATCAACTTTTGATGCAAGTCTCAGCAAAGTGCAGCCACCACCAACAACAATTCCCTCCTCAACAGCAGCCTGATAACCAAAAGCGGTGAAGTCAGCATTTTTTTTCAAGTCCATTGATAACCCGTAACACACAAGTTGACTTGGCTAGTAACGTAAATTTCATGAGAGAACTTCTGCAGAAAATGCAAATTACCTTAGTAGCATTGAGAGCATCTTCAACTCTCAACTTCTTTTCTTTTAGCTCTGTCTCGGTTTGTGCTCCGACCTTCAAAGTCGACACCAAATCATTACGCAGAGTAAAAGACCACGTGTAAAGCTGAATGCTAAAGTAAACTAATGTTTACCTGTGTGACAGCAACACCACCAGAGAGTTTTGCAATCCTTTCATTGAGCTTTTCTTTCTCATACTCTTGCTCCGCAGCCTACAAAAAGTAAGATGCATGTATGCATCAGTGCCTGCCTGCCTTAGCGTGTATGTGACTGTATGTGTATGCCCCAAACAGAGAGAGAGAGAGAGAGAGAGAGACCACAATAAGATTCCTAATCTGAGCGACCCTTTTAGTCACTGCTTCCTGGGTGCTTCCATCACCAACAATTGTACTTGTGTCCTTTGTAAGCACCACCTTTGAAGCATGCCCTAGCACCTCCTTGTCAGCTTTATCCAGGGTAAGGCCCACCTCCTCTCTAATGACAGTCCCTGCAGGCATGTCCAAGCGCATCAGCCATAATAAAGGAAAAGAATTGGCAGAGCAGCTCCTATGCGCCACACAGAAGGCCAACTAAATCGGAAGAAGGGCCAAGAAGGATGCATACCTCCTGTCAATATAGCAATGTCATCAAGGTATTGACTTTTGCGCTCTCCAAATCCAGGAGCTTTAATGGCAGCAATCTTCAAAGCTCCTCTCAGTTTGTTCACGACAAGAGTTGCCAAGGCTTCCTGTTCAATGTCTTCTGCGACGATCAATATGGGGTAACCACCTCTAATAGCATCTTCCAAGACATTAATCAGATCCCTTGCATTTGTTATCTTCTTATCAACAAGAAGCAACTGCACAAACATAAACAATTTGAGTGAAAAGCAGAGGTGGTCACATTCGTTATTCCACTGTCTGAAAGGTGAAATAGAACAAGGATTCACACGCAAGCAACATACCTTGCAATTCTCATACTCAACAGCCATTTTCTCGCTATCAGTAACAAAATAAGGCGAGATGTAACCACGGTCAAATTGCATTCCTTCAACAACGTAAAGGCTGTTATCAGCGCTTTTTCCCTCTTCGAGAGTCACAACACCCTTCCGACCCACTTTACTCAAGGCTTCAGCTATCATATTTCCAACTTCATGGTTATTTCCTGCACTAACGGCAGCAACATCTGCCAATTCACTATCCTCGACCTCCTTTGAGATTGATGTCAACTCACCCGCAAGAGCCTTGGTTGTTTTCTCAATGCCACGAGTAATGAGGACAGGGTTTGCCCCTGCAGCAACCACCTTGACACCTTCAGCAATAAGACCCTGTGCAAGAACAACTGATGTTGTTGTACCATCTGATGTAGCTAGCAAGGATCACCTAGAGGGGGGTGAATAGGTGATCTAAAACAATTTTTAGTAATTTATGCGGAAACAAAATAAATCACAGAAGAGTCTGAATAAAATTCAGATTCAAGACAGATTATATAGACTGTGCTCTTGATGTGCAGAATGTAAAGTAAGAGATAAGGGATAGAGAATCTCGCACACAAGTTTATAGTGGTTCGGCTTATAGCAAGCCTACGTCCACTCTCCCACGCTCACTGACCCTACCGGCTGGATTTCACTATGTAATCAAGAGGAATTACAACTTCGAGTGTTAACACTCTTGTGTATGATAGGACTCTCTATCTCACACAATCACTCTTACAAAGTGTTCCTCAAGATCTTAATATTTGGCTCAGAATGACAAGAGAAAAATGATTGGATTAAGCTCAGACTTTGGACTTGTTGATTCTTGATTCCGTACTTCCTTCCGCCTGCTCGTTGATCTCCTTAAATACTCCTCTCGCTTCCAAACTAGCCGTTGGATAGCTTTCGGAGGATCATCTTCCAATCTTTACCTTGGACAGATTTGTATAGTAAGGATTGAGTAGCCGTTGGTTGACGTATTCGAATCCCGCTGATTCTGGTTGCCCATACAATCAGAATCTTGGTTTCCATAAGTAGAACTTTGTCCGTTGTAATGCATTCTTGTCATGATGTTTGATTGTCAATCAATTTGATTCAGATTGAGACAATCAGAACATTCCTTCTGTGAAATCCATGCTAGATCACTAGCTGTTGTGTTACGTTCTGAATTCTGCGTCTGAAGATATTCTGCGCGCATCGAAGAACTCATGCGTCTCGTGCTCAAGAATTTCTGCGTCCGAATAATTTCTTCTGCGTCGACGAATTTCTTCGTCTGAATAATTTCTTCGTCGCATCCGCATCGAATAACTTCGCATCCGCATCCGAATAACTCTCGCTTCGAATCTCGAACTTCGATTATGTGGGTCTTCAAAAATATACTTGACAGATTGTAAAGTCGAATAACTTTCTTCGAGCTTCCGAATATACGGCACTGGAATAGTTCAGAATAAGTATCAGATTTACAATAACATAGAAGGTTTTGTCAACTTCAAAATTAATAGGAGTTTTCCTCAATAATCTCCCCCTTTTTGATGGTGACAAAACTTTCTTTGCAGATTGAATTATTTTAAACATATTAAGCTCAATAAACACAGATTGAAATAGCAAACTCTGTTGATATCTGTGTCTTTCTTCCTTTGAGAATAACCTGTAAATCTGCAATATGATTTCTCCCCCTTTTTGTCATCAACAAAAAGAATAGTAATAGATAGAATAATGCATTGATATTAAGTAATCAATCAGTCTAACAATAAGTATGAGAAATATTACGGACCAATTGAAAAAATAGAGAGAAATGTTGAAAAACAGGCTATTTTTTAGGAGTACGAATCGATTGAAAATTTTCCAATATTGAGACAGCCTCCTCAATCTTCGTATTTGCATTGACCTATGGCTTTATCCATGCTTTGGATGAGCACATAGCAATGGCTCCCTCTAATTCCGCTTTATCTGCTCTTGCTTGAAGTTGTTGAGCCTTGGTGTTTTCCTCAACAATTTTTCGTAGGTTCCGCAAATTTTGTTCTAGAGCGACTCGCTTGTCCTTTATCTCGAGCGGAATCGAAAGGATGTCTCGATTTTCAGATGGCGACCTTGGTCATTAGCTTCTTCGATCGATTGTACCTCGCGGCTGATTCTCGTGGAATCTCCCCCGAACAATGTGATTGTTCTTCGAAACATGCTCTTCATGAATTGGTTCTGAAACATTTGGAACTGGTTCAGGAACATGTTCTGGTTCTGCAGTGTGACCTGATTCAAAGTGTGTCGCTTTCGCTTCATCATTTTCATCATGCGTAAGAGTTTTTCTTTTCTTTTGTACACTTTGATTGGGGTTGGAGAATCGGTTTGCTTGCTTGCTTGAACTAGTTCTTTTCCTTTGCTCCTTTTCTTTTCGAACTTTCTTGCCAATGATTTGGCCTCCGATCGTTGAGCCTCTTTCCTTTTTACTATGTCCCTGATATCTTCAAATTTCTTCATTTTGGAGAGCATTTTTTTCTCCAACAAACATAAGGGGAAGCATAGTTTCTCGCAACTCACCAGGAATAGATAAATTGAGATACATGAAGATACGAGTGATCAAAGCTCCATATGGCAGATGACCCTTATCTTTCTGCAATGCTCTGTACATATGGAATATTATGAGGTGAGGAAGAGAGAAGGATTGACCTGTCAAGATAGCCCAAATGAGCTTGATCTCTGATTTCGAAAGGTCAGTTTTTGAGGCATCCTTTGGCTTTAAACAGTTGATGATGATCTTATGCAAGATCACCGATCGTCTTGATAAGTCAGAATAGGAGAGATGTCTTTTTGATCCTTGAGCAAAGTTCGGATTTTCAGAAGCTAGCTGAGAAGCCTCTGCAAGGCTTACTGCCAACGGAGTAAAAGTGGAGTGTGTGGCTCCAATTATCCTTGCCAACTCATGTGCCTTTAAATCAACTTTCTTGTCACCAATAGTAAACTGTAACCAGTTTGGTGACAGAATTGAAAGATTTGAATAAAAGTAGGCAGTTAATTCAGCATAAGTGTTGGCAGATTGAAGGCAAAATTCATAAACCCCTAGTTTTTCAAACAGGTTCTGTACAGAAATTCCAGCCTTCTCCAAATACTCGAAATCCACAGTTCTATTGTTCATTACTCCTCTATCAAGTAACAGCCTGTAATACATCTGATGCGCAAGTGCTTCTGAATAAGCCTCCTGTTCCAGGCAAGCCAGATGCTATTCCAACTTTCATCTCAAAATTCTCAAAAAAATCGTGCATCATCATCCGGAACAACAAATTTTGACGCACTAGATGTCTTAGGGCTTACATGAACCGATTTCTTTTCAGATGGAGTTGAAGCTTCTCCAACTTTTTCTTTGCCCTTTCTGGAAGAAGTTTCTTGTGGAGTAGTGCTGGTTGGAACTTGCCCTGATTTAGTGCAGTATTCAGAATAGATTTTCGCAAGGTGAGTTTCAGAGCGAAGATCGTTGTCTTTCAGACAAGCACGAAGAGCTGACTCAGAGGCATTATTCCTTTTCAGCCTTTGATAATTCTCCCACACACGTTTAATGTTTATGAACCGAAAATCAGTTTTACCAGACGATTTCGGTGGAGACGAACGCTGAGGGGTTGACGCTTCAGAAGGGTTGACATGATGATCGGATTCTGAGTCTGAAACTTCTAAAAATTCCGCCGCTGCGGTAGATTTTGAGTCTTGATTAAGAATACGAGAAGATCTTCTGTGGGCCACCATCTTGACCGGCATTATGATCACCTTTGAAGACGAAAGTTTCGATCTTTTGGAAGAAGAAGAGGAGAGTCTCTGTATATCGGAAGGTTTTTGAGAGAAAAAGATCGTACTGATAGGGTTTGAAAACAGAGAAGGACGGGCTTAAAAAGGAGGTTGATAACTTTTTGGAAGGAAAAAAGTACTTTTAGAAATTAAGAGATATCCCAAACAAGTAGGAAGAAAATATTCTCTCTAAAACTTAACCAAACATATCAATATATTAGGCAGATTTTAGCAGATAAAATAGAATGCATACCTGATTTGCTTCCAAGTATAACGAATTATACAAGTATCCTGCCAAAAATGTCAATTTTATACCCGCCAAAATTTGAATAAGGAACGTACCTGTCTTTGTGAGTCTGAAAAATGTTCAGACTGAGAATACTTGAGTCTGAACAATTTCCTGTCTATCAAACACTTCAAGAAAATGGATAAGTAATGCACAGTTTTTCTCTGATGAATTCAAATGAAGATTTATCAAGAGGTTTTGTAAATATATCAGCTAATTGATTCTTAGAATCAATAAATTGAATATTTACATCACCATTTTGAACATGATCTCGAATAAAGTGATGCTTGATTTCAATATGCTTAGCACGAGAATGAAGAATTGGGTTCTTTGTCAAATTGATTGCACTTGTGTTGTCACATTTGATTGCAACACTTGATTCTTCAATATCAAAGTCTTGTAATTCTTTGCTTCATCCACAGAATCGTGTGCACAAGCAACTTCTCAATGCTACATATTCTGCTTCTGCTGTAGAAAGTACAACTGTACTCTGCTTCTTTGAGTACCAAGATACCAACATATTCCCAAACAGTTGACATGTACCGGAAGTACTTTTCCTGTCCACTTTACATCCAGCTAAATCAAGATCGAATATCCAAGAAGAGTAAAATCGAATCTTTGGAATACCAAAGACCTAACATTGGATATGTTCCAATGTATTTGATTATTCTTTTTTCGCAGAGAAATGAGATTCCCTTGGGTCTGATTGAAATCTTGCACACATACAGACACTAAAAAGAATGTCAGGTCTAGATGCAGTTAGATATAATAAAGAGCCTATCATGCTTCTATATACCTTTCGATCAACCTTTTTACCATTTTCATCTTTGTCCAGGTTTGGATGAATGAGACATGGGAATGTCCGTCTTCTTGCAATTCGTAATCCAAATTTCTTGATAATCTCCTTTGCATACTTCTCTTGGCAAATGAATGTACCATCTTTGGTTTGTTTCACTTGAAGGCCAAGAAAGAATGATAATTCTCCCATCATACTCATCTCGAATTCATTCTGCATATTCTTTGAGAATTCCTTGCATAGCAATTCGTTAGAAGATCCAAAGATTATATCATCAACATAAATTTGAACAATTAAGAAATCCTTACCCTTTTTCTTAACAAATAAAGTTGTATCAACTTTACCTTTGGTAAAACCATTTTGCAGAAGGAAGTTACTTAACCTTTCATACCAAGCTCTTGGTGCTTGTTTTTGCATCAGTAAAGAGCCTTCTTGAGTCTGTAGACATGATCACTCTTTCTTGGTTCTTCGAAACCAGGTGGTTGTTCCACATATACTTCTTCTTTGATATATCCATTCAGAAAGGCACTTTTCACGTCCATCTGAAATAATTTGAAGTTATGGGAACAAGCATAAGCTAGTAGTAGCCGAATGGCTTCTAACCTTGCAACTGGTGCATATGTTTCATCATAGTCTATGCCTTCTTCTTGAGAATAGCCTTTTGCAACCAGTCTTGCTTTGTTTCTTGTAACTTTCCCTTTGTCATCCAGTTTGTTTCTGAATACCCATTTTGTTCCAATTACTGGATGATTTTTGGGTCTTGGCACAAGTTCCCATACTTTATTGATTCTGAACTGCTGAAGTTCCTCCTGCATAGCATCGATCCAGCTTTCATCTGATAAAGCTTCACTAACTTCTTTTGGCTCTATTTCTGATATCAAAGCCAAGTTGCTGATGTTCTCTTTGTGTTTGGATCTTGTCTTGATACCATCTTCTATTTCTCCAATAACGAGGTTCTTCGGATGACTGGATTTATGTTTCCAGTTTTGTCATATTTTTCCTTCGAAATTCCGACTCGAACTTTCGGTTGAGTCCGTATTATATCTTCTTTGCCTTCGATGCTTCGATGATTCTTGAATGTTGGGAGATGGTTCGATTCATCTCTCGTGAGTCTCGAATGTTTTCTTCAAACCTCACATTCATTGATTCTTCAACAGATCCGAGAGTTCTTGTTGTAGACTCTGTATGCTTTACTTGAAGTTGAGTATCCAAGGAAAAATTCTTCATCTGCTTTCTCATCAAACTTTCCAGTGCGGTTATTTGGATTTTTCAGGATATAGCATTTACAACCAAACACTCTAAAATATGAAATGTTGGGCTTTCTACCTTTGTAAAGCTCATAGGGGGTTTTCTCAAGAATGGGTCTGAGAAAAGCTCTGTTAATGATATAGCATGCTGTAAAAACTGCATCTGCCCAGAAATAAAAAGGAATTTTGCTTTCAATCAGCAAAGTTCTTGCCATTTCTTGCAAAGAACGATTTTTCCTTTCCACAACACCATTTTGTTCTGGTGTGTAAGGAGTAGAAAAATTGTGTTGAAAGCCATTTTCCTCACAAAAATCTGAAAAACTTTGATTTTCAAATTCTCCCCCATGATCAGTTTTAATGCAGGAAATGGAATAGCCCATTTCATTCTGAACTCTTTTTGCAAATTTTGAAAAATATGAAAATGCTTCATTTTTATGAGCAAGAAAGAACACCCAAGTAAATCTTGTGAAGTCATCAACAATGACTAAACAATATTTCTTACCACCAATACTTTGTGTTCTGGTTGGTCCAAATAGGTCCATATGAAGAAGCTGCAAAGCACGATCAGTGGAAACATGATGTATAGACTTGAAAGAACTTCTTACTTGTTTTCCTAGAGTGCAGGCATTGCATAACTCTGTTTTCTTGTATTTCAAATCTGGTAGACCTCGAACCAGTTTCTTGTTTGAGATCTTTGAGATTTGTTTCATACTGATATGCCCCAGTCTTCTATGCCATAGATCTTCATCCTCTTTGATTGAGATCAAGCAATGAGTGGAGTTTGGATTGACATCTAGAAGATAGATATTGCCATGTCTTCTCCCTGTAAATGTTTGAGAAGAATCTTTGCTTGTCCCTGAGCATGTATCTTCTTGAAAGTTGATTCTGAAACCTGTATCACATAGTTGGCTTATGCTTATCAAGTTGTAGTTGAGTCCTTTTACCAACGAGACATCATTGATTGTAAGTCCTCCAATTTCAACTGTTCCTTTGCCAACGATTTTTCCTTTGGTATTTCCTCCAAAGGATACTTTTCCACCATTCAGATTGTGTAGATCAACGAATATACTTGGATCTCCTGTCATATGTCTAGAGCATCCACTGTCTAGGTACCACTTCCTTTTTCTTTTTGTGGTAACCTGCAAAAAACACAGCATCTCAAGTTTTCTTTGGTACCCAAATTTGTTTGGGTCCTTGAGCATTAGTATAGGCTGTCTTAACAAAATCTCTTCTAATAGGTCTCCAGACCTTAGGACATTCATTCTCAAAATGTTGTGGATCTCCACATTTTGAGCACTTGAGTGCACTTCGACCAACAGGTTTTACAAAATTCCTTTTGAAATGATTTTTATAAGCTTGTCGAGGAGGTCTTTGTTTTAATCTCTCCTTGACCTTTGGAAAATCAATCAAGCTATCACTTTCCTTCACAAATCCGAGACCAGATTTGTTGTAGTAAGGAATTTGGATAGAAAGGATATGCTTCAAGGTTTCTGATCCCTTTTGGAAGTAATTTCTGAAACTTGCTTTTTCAAAACTGCATTTTCTTTGGAAAGAAAATCTCGACTTTCCTTGACTTGATGAAATTCTTTTTGAAGGAAATCGATTTTTTCTTTTTGTGAAACATCCTGTTGCCTCAGTGATGAATTTTCCTTTTTCAAAGAAGAGATGCATTTAAGAGCAGTCTTGAATTCAAAGCATAATTCATCAATGTAATTTGATACCTCAATAGGCATGTCAGAATGTTTTACCTCAATTTCCACTTTGGGATCGAATCGAATCGAGTCCGAGTCGACTTAGCCATTAGACGTAAATCTTCATCACTGTCTTCACATTTCGTGTCACTCCAGGTTTCTGCTTTTAAGGCCTTCTTTGCTTTCTCAAACTTGGTCTTCTTTTTCAGAAGTGGACAATTTGGCTTGATATGTCCACGTTTCTTACAGTGAAAGCATATAACATCCTTCGATCTTTCTGTCTCATCGAAAGATTTCTTCTTTTCAAAAGGCTTCTTTCCCCTGAGGTTTCTTCCTTTGATCTTCATTTTCTTATACTTCTTTATAAACAGAGCTAGTTCTTCATCATCAACGTCTTCATCTTCAGAATCTGCATCAGAATCAATGTTAGTCTTCAAAGCAATTGATTTATTACCTTTGGATTCAATCTCCTCATTTCGTTTCTCAGTCTCATATGATTGAAGAGTTCCAATTAACTCATTCACTGATAGAGGCTTGATCCTTTGTGTCTCTCGAAGAGATGTTTTGATGTTGTCCCACTGATTTGTCAGTCCTCTCAGAAGTTTGTTGACTTTCATTGCATCTGGAACTGGTTGTCCTTGATAAGCAAGACCGTTTACTATATCAGTAAACCTGTCATATAAATCAGCAATTGATTCTCCAGGCTTCATTTTGAAAGATTCATATTGACCAAGCAGAAGATTAATTTGAGTTTCCTTGGCTCGATCTGTTCCTTCATAAGTAATAAGAAGAGTATCCCGATTTCCTTAGGTGATTCACAAGCAGCAATTTTTTATATTCAATAGGTGATAAGGCACAATAAAGAGAATAAATTGCTTTGGAATCTAAGGTTTCTCTTTTGGATATCTCGAGTTTGAGATAATGGAGGATCTGTTTGCTTTGCTTGCATCTCGCCTTCTCTTTTGAATCGAAGACTTTGGATTGACACCTCTGATGATGACATCCCATTGCATGTGGTCAATTGACTTTATGAATGCCTTCATCTTATTCTTCCAGACACTATATTCCTTGCCATCGAAATATGGTGGTCTGTTGTTGCTCTATCCTTCAATGAGCCCTGGAGCACCATAGCTAGCCATATAGATCGTTAGCTCAGAAGTAAAACACTTCAATAAACGAGCAACCTGCTCTGATACCAATTGATGTAGCTAGCAAGGATCACCTAGAGGGGGGTAAATAGGTGATCTAAAACAATTTTTAGTAATTTATGCGGAAACAAAATAAATCACGGAAGAGTCGAATAAAATTCAGATTCAAGACAGATTATATAGATCGTGCTCTTGATGTGCAGAATGTAAAGTAAGAGATAAGGGATAGAGAATCGCACACAAGTTTATAGTGGTTCGGCTTATAGCAAGCCTACGTCCACTCTCCCACGCTTACTGACCTTGTTTGGATTTCACTATGTAATCAAGAGGAATTACAACTTCGAGTGTTAACACTCTTGTGTATGATAGGACTCTCTATCTCACACAATCACTCTTACAAAGTGTTCCTCAAGATCTTAATATTTGGCTCGAATGACAAGAGAAAAATGATTGGATTAAGCTCGGACTTTGGACTTGTTGATTCTTGATTACGTACTTCCTTCTCGTCGCTCGTTGATCTCCTTAAATACTCCTCTGCTTCCAAACTAGCCGTTGGACAGCTTTCGGAGGATCATCTTCCAATCTTTACCTTGGACAGATTTGTATAGTAAGGATTGAGTAGCCGTTGGTTGACAGATTCTGAATCCCGCTGATTCTGGTTGCCCATACAATCAGAATCTTGGTTTCCATAAATAGAACTTTGTCCGTTGTAATGCATTCTTGTCATGATGTTTGATTGTCAATCAATTTGATTCAGATTGAGACAATCAGAACATTCCTTCTGTGAAATCCATGCTAGATCACTAGCTGTTGTGTTACGTTCTGAATTCTGCGTCTGAAGATATTCTGCGTCTGCATCAGAAGAACTCCTGCGTCTGCGTCTGAAGAATTTCTGCGTCTGAATAATTTCTTCTGCGTCTGACGAATTTCTTCGTCTGAATAATTTCTTCGTCTGCATCTGCATCTGAATAACTTCTGCATCTGCATCTGAATAACTTCTGCTTCTGAATCTCAGAACTTCGATTATGTGGGTCTTCAAAAATATACTTGACAGATTGTAAAGTCTGAATAACTTTCTTCTGAGCTTCCAGAATATACAGACCTGGAATAGTTCAGAATAAGTATCAGATTTACAATAACATAGAAGGTTTTGTCAACTTCAAAATTAATAGGAGTTTTCCTCAACACCATCACCAGCCAAGTCATTGTTCTTTGCAGCTGCCTGCCTCACTAGTTTGGCACCGATGTTTTCAACGGGATCCTCTAGCTCAACCTGAGGAGAGGATCCAAAAGTTAGGAAGTTTCAGTGTTGCAACATGAAAATGCTTAAATATATTCAGATAGGATAACATGCAGACCATTAACAAAATTAGTTGCGATCCAGTTCGGATGCTTATGATAGATCAATAATAACCCAGATATTTGGAAAAGCCTTTCACATAACATCACTTCAAATTAGGCCCATAAAAAATTTATTAGTTTAGATACCTCTTTCGCCACCGTGACACCGTCATTAACAATTTTTGGGGAACCATACTTGCTCTCCAGGACAACATTTCTTCCCTTCGGACCAAGAGTAACCCCAACTAAATCTGCAAGCTTGTTTACTCCGGTCTGAGAAGAAAGACAAACAAGAGGATTGACATATCTGAAGCAAGCCTATCACAATTCAGAAAACTTACAACTACTCAAAGACTCACTTGCAACTTTTTGATAGTTGATCCATCCTTATTAAAGTACAAATCCTTTGCCATGGCACAGATTTTGGGCTCCCGTGATTTCCTTAGGCTGACGCTCCGCCTTCTACCAAATGTAGAGGAAGAAGAAATGGAAGAAACAGAAGACAACTTGTCCAGTGAAGTTGCTAGTTTCTTATCCATCACACGATTGCCAGGAGCAGCCAAAGTGCCAGCTGAGGACATGGCCGTGAAAGTTGACGCCATTTACTCCTCAAGGCTGAAAATACAGGACATCAAGTTTAACCTTGGCCGCAGCAAGCAAAAAACGAATAGCCCAAGAAGCACAAGAAAACAATTAAAACACTCGAGTGCGACAATGGACGAAAACTAATCATGAGCAGAGATGATTCCAGAGTCTACGGGCAAAGTGACTTCGTGCTGAATGCGCTCTATATGGGCGGCTCAAAGCCAACAGAAATCGCATGCCCTGGAGTTCAAGACGGCTACTAGTCGAAGCGTTTACGACACCTTTAGTTAGTGTCTCATCTACTCCGTTCCATCAAGAGGAGGGCACTAACGAGAGGCCAAACCAAAGCAGCGAAGCTACAATCTCGGCAACTCGCGCCATCCTAACCAAAACAACCCAGCTAAAGAAAAGCTCACCAAAATGAACATCCCCAAACAACTCAACGAATCCAAGCTCAGCTAAGAACTCACAAGTCCCTAACGACTCGATGCTTAAACCAAACCCCGTCCATTTCCCGCGCAAAGACGACAAAGCTCCTCCTCCTCCTCCTCTTTCACGCATTTAGCTTGACAAAAGGAGACACGACCTAATTACCCCCGAGAAAAATGCTTCCCCAATCTTCTCAACTACAAGTCCAAGCACAACACCGCACCAGAAGAAGCTAACGTTGGACGGACCCAATAACAACTACAAAAAAAAGCAAACGGAATGCTTCATTCCGTCTGTCACACCCCGTACTCTACGAAGCGCTAACATCCCTACCTTGGTCGATTGTAGTGCCACGTCCCAGGAAACGTCGCCGACCCAACGCCCAATAGAGAACAAGCACAAGCGGAAACAATTAAATAAACAACCCTGACAATTATAAAATACGAGCCAATGATAGCCAAGCAATAAACACGATCACAGCAGAAAATAGGTACATACTTACATTACTATAGAAAACCTTTTTACAATACCCATCAAACAACAAAAGCGAGCAGTACAAACAGTCAACAGCCACTGGGTCAAAAGGGTAAGTGGCTAGGGTGCTCTTAGGGATCCTAGTCAGGATCTGAGGATTCCGAGGATTCATCCAACTGCTCCTCTGACTCCATATCTGCTGCTCCGTCTCCACATGGGTGCATGCTCAACGACCGCTGAATGCGATGCGGTATCCCAGAAAGAGGTGGTGACCTCGGCATTCTACGGTTGGGGATCTGAAATGTTTCGGTTTACACAACCGTGAGACGAATCTCAGTGAGTTCAACCCCTAAACATAGGCTAGGCTAGCATGCAATATCCTGACCGGAAATAAACACTCAAAGTATAACACAACAATAATCACACAAGTCTCTGACCCTGCAGGTTGGATAGTTCAACATCTAATAATCACGGCACATACGTGGCACACATAGTCACACGTATGCCAAACACATGCTCCTACACCGAGTCTCACACTCGCACGCTAATCCATGCATTTTTATGCATGCAAATGTCGTCAGCATGTCGTATGCATTTTCCGGCCCACTGGCCCACACTGGCATACTGGCAATCATCCGATTTATTATTTATTACGACTCAAGTCGACAATATTCACGGCCTGGTGCATCTAGCCTGCTTCAAAGTGCATGAGGCGCAGCAACCGATCTGGCCCAGTGTCTCTAGCCTGCTTCAAAGTGCATAAGGTGCAACACTGATCTCCTTACGAACCAGAACCTGCTTCAAAGTGCATGAGGATGGTCGTCTTCCGGACGTACCGGGCATCGTCCTGCTTCAAAGTGCATGAGGATGGCATCGACCCGAAAGTCACGACCCGAAGGCCCTTAGGTGATCACACAACCCATTATTATCTGAACCCCGCGTAACACGTATCAGGGTATTTTAGGTGATCACATGCTCATGACAGGCACGCAGTCTCACACAATTTCATCACAAGCCTCATTCTCAGCATTCATAATGTGTGCCATGAAATGCAACATGAGCATCCACATAACATAGGCACAGGCACACAGTTCAATCAAAGTCATTCCACAGTGCCTAATTCACAAGCCACGTGCTTACTTGGCCTATTAATACCGTGCGGCCAAATTCCAAATACACAATTCAAGCCATCAATTGGCCAATCACACTCCGCACGATTCAGCCACACAAGCACGCAATATAGCATTTCGCAATTAAACACAATTGATCATCAATCAATCAACAGCCAATCATTTTGGGTAATCCCGGCCATTCAGCTAATAATTCTTGCTGTCCATTATAATCCGGTACATTCCTCAAAAATATGGACAGCCGCTATTTTCTCAATCCGGGCCCAATAATTGTCCATAATAATCCCACTAAATTTCTCGGATTTTATTTCCACTAATCAGTCCTCAATCCAGTCCGAATTATACACCGACAATATCTAAACCAGTCCAGAAAAACGCACTATCAGTCCTAATCCGGGTTTAGAAATTTTACTCACCTAATTTCTGAACCACGGCGACGGGGAACGACGGCCGATCACTGATGAACAGTGAAACCGGCGGCGGAATTCCCGGGGCGCGTACTGTTCACGCGGTACTGTTCACGGCGTACGAACACTGTACGGACTGCGGGGGAACGATGGCCGGCGAGACGGCGGTGACGGCCACAGCGGGCCGTACGGACGGCGGCGTAAGGACGCTACAGTATCGACCGTACGGACGGTGACGGTCGGCGTCGTGCGGTGAGGCTGGACGGCTGGGTGGCGACGGTGCGGCGATCGGAGCTCCGGCGAAGCTCCGGCGGCCCTATTTGCCGGACGGAAAGAGAGAAAAAGAGGGAGAAAGAGAGAGAAATAGAGAGAGAAAGGGGTTGGGTGTGGCTGAGACTGAGGCTGGGGACAGAGGTGGTCGACGGCGAGGCACGGTGGCCGGCGGCGGCGATCCGGCGGCTGGCGGCGAGCTCCGGCAAAGCTTGCCGAGAGAGAAAAAGAGAGAAATGGAGAGGGAGCTGCTGGCTGGGGGCTGTTCTGGCCGAGATAAATGAAGAGGAGAGAGAAACTGGGTCTGACCAGGTCAAGAAATAGCAGCCCCTTGCGCCACGTGTCGCCGATCCGAGCCATTTGACCAAAACGCCCCTAATCTAACGGTTCTAATTCGATCCTATCCAAAAAGTGAAGGGTAAAATGGTCTTTGGGGCCAATAATGCAGCTGATAAACCCTCCATAATTATCCAAAAATTTTCCCAAAAATTCGGACTCGAAAACGGCCTAGGGGCAAAACCGTCATTTTTCCGGCCCGGGGCGAAATTCCAATTTTCGCACGTACTAACCCTCCATGAGCGTGGCCAACATAATGTGGTGTCGGAATCGCGAAATTCATCGCACAAGCCCTCGAAAATCCACGTCGAAGTTTCGGGAATAAAATAATATTATTTTTCCAATTTTTGTCGAAATTCTAATTTTTGTCCATAACGACTCCTGGTATGCGTGGCCACCCAAAAATGGCGTCGGCCTCAAAAAATAACCTCATTTGGCCTCGAAAAACAACGCTGGCATCCCGATGGGCAAAATCGTAATTTTTCACCCCCGGACCGAAATTCCAATTTTTACTCGTACTAACTCCAAACGTGTGTGACCAGCGTGCTATGACGTCAGATTCCCAAAAATAGTCTCTTAAGCCTTCGAAAATCGGTATCAAAGTCCGGGTCCAATTTCGTGACTAAAACTCGCTCGATTTCCAATTTCAGGGTCTCTCACTAACGGGCGGATGTCTAGAAGTTACGCGTATCGACCTAGGGTTATCCGAGTCATGACGGTCCTGATCATTGAGAGAATGAGAAATTATCACCAATCCCAGAGGTCACGATCGTCCGGTTTAAGTTCAGGATTGGTTGGCCACGTGCACTCTCGGTCATGCAGAATCACCTGCGATCCGATTGTACATTGTTGGCCTTAGCCAAACCAAATCCGTTACTTTTCCTAAGATCGATCCACATTGGTTTATAATATTCTCTCATCATTTCTCGTGATTAGTGTCCGCTTCGCGATCGGATCCTTGGTCCACGTACCGCTTTCTAATTAGCCATACCCTATTGGTTAGTATCCCGAAAGTGATCAGCTCTAGGTAAGACTTACTAAAATGAAATGCGAAATATTGTCAATTTTATTGATCCCGGAACTACATCGAAATTCGGGCTGTTACACCGTCCATCGCAGAGAGGCAGAATTCCAAGCTCCTCGAATCCTAGAAATTGCGGAACACAGCGCAAACGAGAAGGGAACGATCGAGAGGATGAGATCAGGCTTATCCGAAGTTACCTCCGGCGGCGAAGGGAGACGGGGAGGGAGGGAGAGGGAGCGCGCTTAGGGTTTCCAGCGACTTTCGACAGCGTCGAGGGACACGGTAGTAGTTGATGAGGTTTATATTGGGGAAGGGGGGCGATAGAGAGGAGAACGTCCATTTCTACATTGCTCCTGAAGGTTCGGCCCAATCAAGGCTGTTGGATTGGAAGCGTCGTCGGCTGCCGTCCTTTTACCTCGGAAGAGTCTGGAACCTTTCAATAGATATGCTTGTTCCCTCGTGCCTCGCCACACGTGTGGAGGTCCTCTCCTTTTCTTCTTGGCAAGCTTGGTTCCAATTTTTGTTTTTGGACGTGCATTTCTTGTTTCTTTCTTACTCTTTTTCTGTTTTTTTTTTTTGCTAGAACTTGGAAGTGTGATCTTTTTTAAGCCAAATTCGGATCTCCTAAGTTTATTTTACTGCAGAAAATATTGATAACTATCGTTAAATTCCGATTATTTGACAATTACGACAAGTTAATTGGAAGATTCGCAGTCAATGGGCGAGACGGATCGAGTTAAGAAAGACGAGATTAATTTATATGGTTATGTGATACTTTCTAATAGCCTGTTGAATCCACACCAAAAGATGATCGGGTTGAGTCACGAGAGAAGAGAGGTTCAAATAACTGAAGACCCCTTTATGAGTCTTGAAGTAGTTTGGTTCGCTGAATGTAATGAGAAATAACTTATTCATGTTCTTTCTAGCATGCTTGGTTCATGTGAGAAATAATCATTTTGTGACATCTTTCCAAATTATTCCTCCAATTGATGTGGGTTAAGTACGGCTTTAGTCCTCTAAGTTTCATCATCTGTGCAATTGGTCCTCTATTTTTATTGGAGTCTCTAAATTTATTGATTTGTGCAATTTGGTCCTCTAATTTTTATCTTATGCAATCAAATCATCTAACTTTCTCAGTCTAGTGCAATCAAATATTTTGGTCAATCGTTTTCACTAAGCCGGATTAATTATTGAAGTCACGTGGTCATTGTGGAAAAAAAATGTCACACGATATTAAGGTGTCCCCAAATTAGTGAAAAAATTATTTTTTTTTTGCAAAAAAATCTTAATTCGATAATGTTAGTTACAATAAAAATATGAAGCACTTGATTACATTGCACAAAAATCGAAAACGTCAAAAGACTGGAATGAACAAAAATAAAATTTATTGGACCCAAATTGCACAAATCAAGGATAATAGAGGACTTAACTGCATAAAAATAAAAGTTAGATGACCCAATTGCATATGCACTAGAAACTTAGAAGACAAAAAATGTACTTAGGCTCCCTTTTTCTATAACAGCCCGAATTTCGATGTAATTCCGGGATCAATAAAATTGACAATATTTCGCATTTTATTTTTGTAAGTCTCGCCCGGAGCTGATCACTCTTGGGATACTAACCAATGGGGTATGGCTAACTAGGAAACGGTACGTGGACCAGGGACTCGATAGTGAACGGGACACCGATCTCGAGATATGATGAGGGAATATTTTGGGCCAACGTGGGCCGATCTTAGGAAAGGTGATGGATTTGGCTTGGCCAAGGCCAACGATGTACAATCGGATCGCAGATGATTCTGCAAGACCGAAAGTGCACGTGACCAACCAGACCTGAACCTGAACCGAACGATCGCGACCTCTGGAACTAGTGATGATTTCTCATTCTCTCAATGATCGAGACCGTCGTAAGTCGAATAACCTTAGGTCGATACGCGTAGATCCTAACCAGCCGCCCGTTAGTGAGAGACCTTGAAATTGAAAGTTTAGCGAGTTTTGTTCACGGAATTGGGCCCGGATTTCGATGCCGATTTTCGAAGGCTTAAGAGACTATTTTTTGGAATCTGACGTCGTATTACGCTGGCCACACACGTTTGGAGTTAGTACGAGTAAAAATTGGAATTTCGGTCCGGGGGTGAAAAAATGACGATTTTGCCCCTAGGCTATTTTCGGGTCCGAATTTTTGGGAAAGTATTTGGGACAGTTAAAGATAATTATCAGCTGCATTATTGGCCCCATTTACCCTTTTGCCCCTCAATTATTTGGATAGGATTGTTTAGAAACCGTTAGATTATGGGTATTTTCGTCAAAACCGCCGGATTTGCGACACGTGTCGCCCTAGGCTGCCCTTTTTTTACCAGGTCTGACCTTTATCTCTCTCCTCACTCACCCTCACGCCAAAACTCCCCGAGAACAGCAGCCCCTTCAGTTTTCTCCCCCATTTTTCTCTCTTTTCCTCTCTTGTTTGGCTCGCCAGAGCTCGTCGCCGGCCACCGGAGCGCCGCCGCCGGCCACCGTGCCTCCCCGTCGACCACCACAGCCCCCAGCCTCAGTCTTGCCCCTGTCCGACCCCTTTCTCTCTCCCTTTCTCTCTCTTTCTCCCTCTTTTTCTCTTTCCTGTCCGGCAAAAAGGGTCGCCGGAGCTTCGCCGGAGCTCGGATCGCTGTTCCGTCACCACCCAGCCGTCCAGCCTCGCCGTACGACGCCGGCCGTACCTGCCCCATACAGTGTCCGTACGGAAGTACTGTAGCAGTCCCCGTACGGAAGTACTGTTCATCCCGTTCGTACGGGTCATTGTTCACGCCGTCGCCGGGAATTCCGTCGCCGGTTTCACTGTTCATCAGTGATCAGCTGCCGTTCCCCGTCGTCGTGACCTCGGATTAAGTGAGTAAAATTTCTAAACCCGGATTAAGACTGATAGTGCATTTTTCTGGACTGGTTTAGGAATGCTAGTACTGGCAGAGGAAAATTAGTGTACTGTTTGATAGAAATTGTTATCAGGAAAAATGTAGTAGATCAATGAGAAATTATTGGGGAGGATAATGGGATTTAATGACCAATTTAGGAGCTCGTTAGTGAAATTGCCGGGTATGCCCGGGTTGACTGATTGTACGTCAATTGTGCTTAATTGTGGTTGATTTCGTATCTTGCTATGTCGTATGTGGTGTGGCTGATTTTATGGAGTGCGATTGGCCATTGTTTGGTTTACAATGAATTACTGATTTGTGAATCGCACATTAGGCCACACAGTATTAATTGGGCCAATTAAGCACGTGTTGTGACATTGGGTGTCTGAATTATATTGGTGCTCGTGGTGCATTGCATTGCATAACATGGACACGCATTGCGTATGCCAAGAGTGAGGCATGTGATGAAATTGTGCGAAAATGCGTGTCTGCCATGAGCATGTAATCACCTAAAATACCCTGAAGCGTTATACGCTGGGTTTAGATAATAATGAGTTGTCTGATCACCTAAGGACCTTCGGGTCGATACCGTCCTCATGCACTTTGAAGCAGGACGATGCCCGGTACGTCCGGAAGACGACCATCCTCATGCACTTTGAAGCGAGGCTCGGTTCGTAAGGAGATCGGTGTTGTGCCTCATGCACTTTGAAGCGGTGCTAGAGACCTTGGGCCGAGATCGTTCTTTGCGCCTCATGCACTTTGAAGCGAGGCTAGACGCACCGAGCCGTGAATGTTGTTGACTCGAGTCGTAATAAATAATAAATTGGGCGATTGCCAGTGTGCCAGTGTGGGCCAGTGGGCCGGGAAATATACGTGACATGTCGACGACATTTGCATGCATGAATATGCGTGGACTGGCATGTGAGTGTGTGAGACTCGGTGCATGAGCATGTGATTGGCGTACGTGTGACTAGGTGTGCCACGTATGTGCCGTGATTATTATATATTGAACTGTCTAACCTGCAGGGTCAGAGAATTATTTGATTGTTGTTGCATTATGGTTTCAAATATTCATTTCTGGTCAGGAGATTGCATGCTAGCTTAGCCTAGATTTAGGGGTTGAACTCATTGAGATTCGTCTCACGGTTGTGTAAACCGAAACATTTCAGACCCCCAGCCGTAGAATGCCGAGGGCATCACCTCTTTTTGGGATACCGCACAATATTCGGCAGTCGTCAAGCGTGCACCCCTGTGGTGATGGAGCAGCCTATGTGAGATATTATGCTGTTTTGTTTGTAAATGTGGGAGAGGCGCACTACCACACCCAAGAATATGTGGCTTGGTGCTATAGAGGAGCCGACGGAGCAATCGGACCCCCGCTCAGGACCTTTGATGTCCCGGTAGACGTGAATAATGTCATGATCCAACAGATGGTAAGTGGTGAGATTTCCGATCCTCCAACTACGCCTGATTGGAGCAGCCAAGGCGAAACCGTGGACGGACCTGCTGCTATGGTCGAGGAGGCTGAGGAACCTAAAGTGTTGTATGCTGATCCGGAACCCTTGGACCACCAGAATGAAGAAGAGCCGGTAGCCATGGAAGTAGATCACGAATAGGATGGAGAGGTTGAGGAACTGGGATCCAATCAAGAAATAGGAGCCGAGGACGAGCTGGGATTATACTTAGACCCTGAGTTAGAACCGGATTCGGAGGACGAGAGTGATGCAGCAGAGGACATGGATTCCGAGGAGTCCGAGTCCCAAGAGAGCTCGATAGATGAGTCCTCAGGGTCCGACCCGGACTGGGATCCCTAGGTTAGCAATACTCCTAAGTAAAGTGGGTTACACCTTTTTTACTAAAGCCCGTCTTAGTCCCGTCCAGTACCCCTAGCCACTTACCCTTTTGACCTAGAGGCTGCTATTATGAGTGTTGACTGCTGTTGTTGTATAAACGAATATTGTAAAAAGGTTTTTATAGTAATGTAAGTATGTACCTATTTTCTGCTGTGATCGTGTTTGTTGCTTGGCTATCCTTGGCTCGTATTTTATAATTGTCAGGGTTGTTTATTTAATCGCTTCCGCTTGTGCTTGTTCTCTGTTGGGCGTTGGGTCAGCAACGATTCCTGGGAGCTTGCACCATAATCGACCGTGACGGGATGTTGCGTTCCAGTGGGGTACGGGGCGTGACATTTTCTGATGTTTAGATCGCTTCTAAAATCAATCAATAAAAAGTCTATTAATAGTCAACGAAAAACATAGGGTAAAATTCGTGAAAATGATTTCCCTATATGACTAAATAACGGCGCTTAGATCAAAGACCTCAAAGCTTGGGCACAGTAGCCAACGCCTATGCCCAGGTCCTC